GCTCCATTCCTTTTCCTTACTTCCTTACCTATACGACCACCCTTCGGGTGATAAGGAGGTTCGGGGGGGGGAGGAACCAACGTCTCACTCGATCGGTCTCACTATCGATCTCACTATCGATCTCAGTATCGGTCTCGCTCGATCGATCTCCCTCGATCGATCTCACAATCGATCTCACAATCGATCTCACTCGATCTCACTCGATCTATCTCACACTCGATCTCACTCGATCATCATCATCATCATCATCATCATCATCATCATCATCATCATCATCATCATCATCATCATCATCATTATCATCATCATCATCATCAGCATCATCATCACCATCAGCATCAACATCAGCATCAGCATCATCAGCAGCATCATCATCAGCATCACCATCATCATCATCATCATCAGCATCATCATCATCATCATCACCATCATCTCATCATCAACATCAACATCAACATCATCATCATCATCATCATCAGCATCACCATCACCATCACCATCAGCATCAGCATCAGCATCATGATCATCATCATCATCATCATCATCATCATCATCATCATCATCATCATCATCATCATCATCATCATCATCATCATCATCATCATCATCATCATCATCATCATCATCATCATCATCATCATCATCATCATCATCATCACCGCGGACACCGCGGGACACCGCGGGGCACCGCGGGACACCGCGGGACACCGCGGGACACCGGCGGGACACCGCGGGCCACCGGCCGCCCGGAAGGGAGACATTTGGTCCGGCCGCGCCTCAGCCACACGGGACACCGCGGGACACCGGCGGGACACCGCGGGCCACCGGCCGCCCGGAAGGGAGACATTTGGTCCGGCCGCGCCTCAGCCACAGGAGACTTTCTTCGCCCGCCCACGCAGCAGCTTCGCCTCGCCCGCACGCACGGCACGCACGAACACGAAACCGAAATCGATTTCCCGGTAGGGGGGCTCTCCGTTCCACTTCGATCTCACCCCCTCACCTCCGACAGATAATGTCTCCCTGTCGCACCCCGAGGCCAGTTTTTAGGGCGGGCTGGGCGTTCCACCTGAGACTTCCCCACCACTTATGACCTTGAAGCTCGAAATTATCAACAGCTGCAAATATGGAGGGCGGGTCATTTTCAAAAAGTGGCTCCCGCCTTAGCGCCGCTTACATTCGTTTGAATTATCCTAGCGAAGTGCCCAAACATGTGTAGTTATGAGTAAAGCGTTGTGGGTGCCGCTTCCGGTGGGCCACGCAACGCGTGATGGGGCGTGCCGTAACAGGTGGGGGGGGACGCATGCGGGCACCCCCACTGGGGCCTTCGGTGGAGCTCCCTATGGGGCCACGAAACGCTGTAGTGGATTGTGGAGACGCATGCGGGCGGTGCCACTGGGGCCTTCGATGGAGCCCCCATATGGCGCCACGAAGCGCTGTACTGGGTGGAGGGGACGCATACGGGCGGTTCCACTGGGACCTTCGCTGGAGCTCCCTATGGGGCCACGAAGCGCTGTACTGGGTATGGCGGACGCATGCGGGCGGTCCACCTGGGGCCTTCGGTGGAGCCCCCCATGGGGCCAAGAAACGCTATACTGGTTGTGGCGGGCGCGTGCGGGCGGTCCACCTGGGGCCTTCGGTGGAGCTCCCCGTGGGGCCACGAAGCGCTGTACAGGGTGTGGCGGACGCATGCGGGCACCCCCACTTGGGCTCCCAAACAGCCCACGGAGCGCTGTACTGGGTGTGGCGGACGCATGTGGCCCCCCACACTGGGGCCTTAGGTGGAGCTCCCTATAAGGCCACGGAACGCTGTGCTGGGCGTGGCGGACGCATGTGGCCACCCCCATTGGGGCCTGAGGTGGAACTACCTATGGGGCCACGAAGCGCTGTACTGGGTATGGCGGACGCATGTGGCCACCCCCACTGGGGCCTTAGGTGGAGCTCCCCATGGGGCCACGAAGCGCTGTACTGGGTGTGGCGGACGCATGTGGCCACCCCCACTGGGGCCTGAGGTGGAGCTCCCGATGGGGCCACGAAACGCTGTACTGGATATGGCGGACGCATGTGGCCACCCCCATTGAGGCATCAGAAGAAGCTCCCTATACGGCCACGAAACGTGTGAGGGGTGTGCCGGCATGGGTATGGCGGACGCATGTGGCCACCCCCACTGTGGCCTTCGGTGGAGCTCCCCATGGGGCCACGAAGCGCTGTACTGGGTGGGGCGGACGCATGTGGCCACCCCCACTGGGACCTGAGGTGGAGCTCCCTATGGGGCCACGAAGCGCTGCACTGGGTGTGGCGAACGCATGTGGCCACCCCCACTGGGGCCTGAGGTGGAGCTCCCGATGGGGCCACGGAACGCTGTGCTGGGTGTGGCGGACGCATGTGGCCACCGCCACTGGGGCCTTAGGTGGAGCTCCCAATGGGGCCACGAAACGTCTTATGGGTTGTGGCGGGCGCATGCGGGCCCCTCCATTGATGAGGGCGATGACGATGACGATGGCGATGGCGATGGTGATGACGATGCTGCTGATGATGATGGTGATGAGGATTATAGTGCTGCTGCTGATGATGATGATGATGATGATGATGATGATGATGATGATGATGATGATGATGATGATGATGATGATGATGATGGGAGGAGGGAGGAGGGGGAGGAGGAATGAGTGAGGAACGCGGGGCGCTGTCTCGTCAAAACGAGGACCCAACACCACAGGATGGTTGAGAACAATCTGCAAGAGCTTCACGGATTGAGGGCGAGCCATTTTCAAAATGTGGCTCTCGCCTTAGCGCCGCGTACTGTCGTTTTCAAAATTTGCAAAAGATTCACGGATTGAGGGCGGGTCCTTTTCACAATGTGGCTCTCGCCTTAGCGCCGCGGACATGTAATGTGCAAGAGCTTCACGGATTGAGGGCGGCTCCTTTTCAAAATGTGGCTCTCGCCTTAGCGCCGCACACATTCGTTTCTTTGAATTAGCAAGTCTTTACGGATTCCCATGGTCAGCGTACCAGAAATGTTGCTCTGAAGGACTCACGAGTATGAAGGTGCAACAGTTACGTTGAGTCGCGGTGTTGAAGTCCCAGGAATGGCGTTCTGGCACGATTCAAGATCGTCAAGACGCAAGAGTCAGGTTGATCCGTGGCGTTGGAATCCCGCGAACAATGTTTTGTCATGCTCCATGGTTTTCAAACGGTTGTCTTCCAACGAGGCAGTCCCCGCAGTAGAACGGAACCGTTGTAGGGGCCTGTGAAGAGGGAGCTTAGAGGGTGGGTTCATTCCAACATCGTTCATGACTCTTGGGTTTTCACTGGTCCTCCTCCTCCTTCTCCTCGTCATCATCATCAGCATCATCATCACCATCAATACGATCATCATCGTTTTACCCTCCACACACACCAGACACATTCTCCCTCCGACCCCCCTCCATCCCACCCCGATTCTTCCCTTCAACGTCCCCCCCGCCTTCGCCTCCTCGTCCACATTATCCTCCTCATCCTCCTCCTTCTCGTAAAACCCACTGTTGCTTCTCCTCCTCCTCCTCCTCCTGTTCCTCTTCCTTCTCCACCTTAGGCCCCTGATGCTTTATCATCATTAGTTATCATCCTCGCCAGTCCTCCTCTTGTCTCCTCCTCTCTCCTCTCTTCTCCTCCTCATCAGCCCCCGCATCCTTCTCCAGCATCAGCTCCTCCTCCTCCTGGTGCATCCTCCTTCCCCTCGCTGCTCTATCCGCTGGCTCCTCCTTCTCGTCCTCCTCTCCCTGGCTCCACTCCTCCTCCTTTTGAGAAACTCCCCTTTTCGCACCTCTAGATGTGTCGCTGGGGCTTGCCAGTCGTTTCGCTAGAGGCTTCCTCTCCGATTGTAGCACCCTCGAGGCTCGAAGCTCCTGACAGCTACACGGATGGAGGGCAGATCGTGCTCACGATTGGTCTCTCGCCCCAGCGGCTGGCGCTGCGCACACCAGTCAAAGTGGTCCCAATAACTACAAGGCTCGCTGTTGGGCAGTTCTCAGAACGTGGCTCCCCCCGTAGCGCCGCCCACGACCGCCTCCACAAGATCGAGAAGCTGCAAGGGTGGAGGGCGAGCCGCTTTCAAAACTGCTGTTCCCGCCCGAGCGCCGTGCAGATTCGCCTTAAGCTTCGGCAGCAGCTACAAGGGTGGAGGGTGGGCCGGGCCGTTATCGAAATGTAGCTCTCGCCCGAACGCCGCGCACAATCGTCTTGATTGCCAAAGGCTAGAAATCTGAAGAGCGGCCTGTGCTTGTTCATGGGGCCCTCGCTTGAGCGCCGCGCACATTCGTCGGAGCATATTCCAACATCTTCGAGGATGGAGGGCGGCTCCTTTGCAAACTGAGGTTCTCGCATCCAACTTCCTCCAAACTTACAACCAGAAAGTACGGCCCCAAACAGAAGGTCGTTGCACCCTCGATGTGCAACATCTTCCCTTTTCATAGTTTTACAACCCGGAGGGGCGGGACCCCCCTCCCGGCCCGACCTTCCGGAATCGCTGGCCTCTGGGGCTCCTGGACGCCCCTGCCGAGGGTCCCATGAGACATCCAGGCTTCTTGGAGTCCCTGCCAAGTCGTGCAAACGAGCCTGCGGTAGCCCCAAGAGGGTCCAACATGGCCTCCTGATGGCCCAAGAGACCTCCCAAACGCCCAAAAGAGCTCCAGGAACCCCCAAGTGGGCCTCCAAAACCAAAACCTGTGCGTTTCCTATCGGTTGTTGCATTATTATGGCATTATCGTTTTGTTCGTGCTACCGACGCCCCAGGAAGGCCCAAAAGGCCCCCAACATCGCCCCAGGACAACCCATGACGGCCAGAGAAGGCTCCAAGACGGGCGAAGACGCCCCCACGATCCCCGAAGAAGGCCCCAGGACGGACCTTCAGACCGCCACAAGGCGCGAGCCCTCCGGCCCTAAAGGACCCACGAAACTGCCAACATGCGCCCAAACGCTCCAACCAGGGTTCGCGAGGTCCCCCATAAGACTGAAAAGAAACC